TAGCAACCTAAAAATGGAAATAACAAAAGCCAAATTAATGAATAATGACAATATAATAGACATGATGTCAAAAAAAGACGCAAGCTTATCTGGTGTTTCACGACTATATAGTGACATATATGAACTTTCACCCCTTTCACATAATATCACTACCATATACCAGTGCAGTGTAAGACGTATCACTTAATAGTCATGAAAGAACGGAGTCATGTTTTTTGTTTGCGTCTTATTTAATTGACTGCTTATCTTTCAGTGAGAGCCGAGGTTTCTTTCCCCTTTCCTCTATAGTTTAAATTTTATATTGCTTCTTTAAATTTACAATTTGATGTTAGTACTATAATAATCAACCTTCTTGGTAACTTTAGCGTCGTTTCATGTATTTATTTCACATTATCATTTTCTGTGAAATGAGGAAATGAGGCTTAGGAAACTAAAGCAGCAATGTCATCCTATGCCATAATCCCACCCAAAAGAACGCCATTGTCATACGAATGCCGCGAGCTTAAAAAGTGGGCGACCCGGATGGGGAGGGGGAGGGGCACTTTACTGGTATCGGTAGGACATATGAATGGTTCTGCAAAATCAAAAACAACCACTGTTTTACATAACACCGCCCTTGATAAAATGTGAGCTTTCGGACAAATCAAAACATATTTTAGAGAAAACACTGACTTTGAACTACTAGTACCGGGTAAGATAACTTCAGTACAGGGATTCGTCTCTAGTTTTAGTAGCTGTGGTTCAAGTGTAACTGTACCAATAAGATTTTTCACTGTCAAAACTTGTTTTAAAATGTTCCTTTTTCTGTTTTCACAGACTTTCGAACTTCGAAATGTCAACCGCGAAGTTCATGAGATGCGCGTATACCCCTTGACCAGCCAAGAGCCTACAAGTCGAAGCTTACCAACGAAAATAGAATATAATCTTCATTGTCATTGTCATTGTACCTCATATATGAGGTCTTGATAAAAATACAACAAGGACAAATTTTGAAAAAAAAACCCGGTTAATTTGTAATTCCTGAAGCAACTGGTTTGGTTTTCACTTTTGCAAAGTAACGAGTATACGAGGCACCCGACAGGCGTCTATACATCACGTTTCAAATGAACAAGGGGTCCTTTTTGACATGTTCAATGGTCAAAGAATTCCATTTTGACATTTCCAGGAATCAAATGGATCGTATTTTTATTGTGTTGGCATAATACTAGTATTTGACATTTAGCAAATATAGATCTTTTTTTTATCAAGAGTTTGAACAGGTGAGTATGAATAAGGGGTTTGTTTTTTTCGTGTAAATTTGTTTCAAGGGGTGGTATTTTTTTTAAATTGTTTCAAAGAATTTTCATCAAAAGTTGGTGCATCGCATACCCGTATGTAATCAATACAAGTGACCTCCGGATCAAGACAGGCCTGCAAACCCCTTTCTGATTCCGAAAGCAACCATGAGATAATTGTCTGGAGTGTTAATTAATATTTGTGGGTACGAGGTCATTTATCATGATCTCATGTAATTATGACGCCAGATAAATACTCGGTTACTCAACCATTGATTCGTGATTTTTTTTCAATTTGCTGTATTGTATGCCTGACTCGAATCGTGGCACACCGACGATATCAATTCGCCTAGCCACATAACATGATATACCGATGGTACACATTTTGAATTTTCAAGATAAATGTTCCGGCAAAGCCCGGGGGGGTGGGGGGGGGGCTGTCCGAACGGAACAACATCGTGCAGGCAGACTATTATGATACAGTGTGTCTTCTACTCGGTTACTGGGATTTCGCCACAAAATAATGATACCACTATCTATTTGGGTTTTGTCTGTCTTTGTAGTTTTACATCATATATAATCCTGCAATTTGTAGCGAGATAAGGATCAGAGCAAATTGTCATTTTAAGTTGAAGGGGGAGCTGTCAATCCAGGGGATCGCACAAATGAATTGTATGACATCGTTGTTTACGCTATTTAAGATGCAATATTGGCGAAATGGTTTGTTCAATATTGTTGTTTCGTATGACATATTGAGGACCAAATTGAGTTATAATTTTTCGTAAAACGAAAAGTTTTGTTTTGCAGCATTCGTACTAATACGCCTGTGCAGTGACTATTCTTGGATGTACCGAAACAACAAGCGTACATGATTATTAGAGAATATCATTGTTTCTTCAATTGGACAGCTAGGAATGTGCAGAGAGAACGGTTCATATTTCATAATAAATCATAATCCGATGTATTCATAAACATATGTTACCCATATTGCATTTTAAATGTCTTGTTTTGAATAGTAATGCAGTGAATAACAGATTAGAATTATCTGGATGTGCCCTTCCGAAGTTGATCATGGGGGTTATCACAATGTTTTTATCAGATACATAGAAATTTTAATTAGGACATCGAGTTTTGTTATTTTTACCCGATACAAAAAGGTCGTTTGGACAAAAACTTGCATATGGAGACGTGTCTCTGAAATGGATTTAACGTATAAGTATCGGTCTTATTTCTGGTCAAGATAGGTATAATTATCGGTAATATTTTTTCGATTAGGTATAAATAACCTGAACATTGTGTTAATAATATCTTATGCAACTGTTGGCTTACATGTGCTTCTATTGGAGATGCTCTTCTAATAGAGCAAATACGGTAACTGTTTTATTTGGAATAAACAGTGACGACAGAAATGGTACTTTGGTATAAATATGGGTAGAGATTTTGCCACTATCCAGGTATAAAAATGGTCACACTTTCGAGCACTCAGGTGCACCTTCCTACCCAGCTATGTATCAACTGCCCCCGGGCTTATTATCACCATGTATGATTCGTTTACTAAATTACACCAGTAGAGAAATAATACCTCTTTGCCGCGATAGGAACAGGGAATCAAAGTTAAAACTCCATAAGCTGAAAATCAATTCACATCATTCCACCTGTATAATTACTTGTTTTCAAACACAATACAATGTTTTGGTATTGCTTTCATGTAACCAGACATTGTTATCTAAGAACTATGACAAACCTCACTTAATTATTTGTATACAAGAAATACTCTGGCCAGTTATTTACCATATATTTTTTAAATCTACCTATGAAAATGTATCCAGTGTGTGACAGTCTCACATCCGACTAATCAACAACAACAACAAAAACTAAAGATTCCACATCTCAAGAAAAAATTTCAGCTTTAACAATAATTAGCGACAAACAAGAAGTTCATGTGTTTTACAAGTATCCGGCAAAGTCATCATGCAACAAGTGTTCCACACACATTTCATACCTAACACAATCATTTAAGCAATAATTTGTTTCCCCTCCAATTCACTTTCACTAGTTATACCAACCTACACACCAGAAATATATTATGTACTTTACGCATACATTAACAAATTAAATTATATTTCCACCATGCAGATACCAAGATCCATTTACTCACATGTGTGCTGTAAATTTACAGTTTCCTGTCTTATAAACTAATTATTGGCTGAGATTAATTTAACAACAACAAAATGTGGATTACTATGAAGAATAGTTTGTTTAAATATTGGGGAATATTGATTAAAAATATATCTTCACCAGATATACAATCAACCCATGGATAAAAAAGTATTCTTCAGGAAAGGACCTATGGGGATAGAAATACAATGACTTTAAGATCACCAACACTTGTTTAGGCTTACATTGTGATCACAGAAGTCTGTTATTTCTGAGAAAACATTACCATCAGCTTTCTAAACAATTTCAATAGATGTTGTGCATGTTTATGTTACAATGACAGCACATCTCAAACCTTCTGTTTCATGCAGTCTTGTTCATAGTGAGTAATTTATAATATGCAAATATGTGTACATCATAGCTAACCTGTTAGGCCAAAATTTAAATTAGAGTAGAGCAAAAACCTAGACTAGATGCAATTTATGACCACAAGATGTTGAAAAATCAATGAACAACAGACTGGTGAAGTGATGTGGGCGGAGCTTACATACAAGTTAGTCTGCATATACATGTATGTGTTCCCATGGTAATATACTGAAGTCCTGGGGACAGCCAATCAATGATAACAAAGAATCCTGTGCAGACTACTTAGTTACACAGTAATCTACCTTTTTGAGTGTATTTAGAATGGCTGGATTCCAGGCTAATCCTGAAAATGCAGTAGTCATTTGGTGACAATTTGGGAATGCATCAAACAATTACATCACTCACAAACTTTGACCAATCCTACAAAAATTTATGCCACTAGCAAAAAGATTATGCCACCAAAATCAAGCAACTGGTTCATTTAGGCAAAAATTCACACAAGGAGAAAAAGAAACAGACCACAAACTTCAAGTGACTGCTTCTTCTCTACTCCTAATTCCCTTTAGATGACTTGAAGCCAATTTGTACAAATTTGGGAAAAATGTAGTTTGCTCCTGAGAATGTTTTTTATTCCTCTGTGATCATGAACACGTGATTCAGCTTCAGACCATGCATCCATCCAGTTAGTATTATACTTTAAGTAGTAGTTACCATTAAATGAGATGAAATGTCATTTATAATGAACACTATCATTATGAATTGTGTGTAAAAATCTGGAGTACAGGTAACCAACAATCATTTGGTTAAATGAATGTTTAGAACTAGTTATTTTCAACCATACAGTAAGTAGTGCTGTCAATCAATTAGTGGTTTGTACCACATTCCTCCAGCCAGACATCAATCACCATGAATCTACTGGGAAATACTTTATTTTAGCTTGAATTAATTTTCAGTCATAAGACTTTTTTGGGCGTTTTGTATGGAGTTTATTTTCACTGATTTTGAGAAGTTGAATGTAAAATATAAATATATTCACTGGATTTTATTTTCACTGAAACATTCCTCCAGTGAAAGTAAATCCAAGCAGAAATAAAGTATTTTTACAGTATGTTACTGACATCAATGTTTATTTGATGACAAAGATTATTCAGTCTGCAATTCTTGCATATCTATACATCATGAAAAGGATAAAAAGAGAAACGCTAATTTTTTTTTTATACAGTTAGTCAATTTTATTACAACAATTATCACATAGCCACCAGAAAACAATATTTCAGACATGCCCTCAATGTATGTGAGGAAAAAAATAAGGCTATTGCTGGGATTCCTCCAACCCTTTACCAGTTGAAAATTACTTCTAGATTATGCTACAACAAACTTATATCACTTTGATTTCAAACCATGAAATATTCTGACACAATAGTCACCATTCAAAAACATGTCATCGCAAACAAACAGTAAAACATATTGCTTAATAGACAGGCATAACAAGATATCCACTTAAATACAAAAAATTAAATACGTTGAAATAGCTACATGTCATTTTAGCAGATTTGACTCAATTAACAAAATCCTAATTTAGCTAAATTCCCAACAATCTCATTGTGAGAATACAATGTATTTTAAATGACCAACATCTTTAATCAGCGAGAACTATGGATTTGCTAAATTAGCTAAAATAACATGCTTGCTAAAAAGTCACGTTTTACAGTATATCTAACCCTAAACATATTGAACATCGAAACACACATTAGTTAAGAACTCAAAAATCAGCTTTTTGTGAATATCTACATTATTTATGATATTTCTTCTGTATCATAAAATATGAATGAATATTGCATCATACAATAGCTAAGGAACTTCACCAGATAATATAAACAGTTTTATTATTAGTTCTTTCAATTTTTTGTGATTAAATAATATGAGCGCACTGGTGCGGAGATGAATTTTCATGTCACTTTCATTTACTGTCTTGCATGTAAAAATCCCAAAATACATGTCTGCTTCAAATAACTTTGTGGTTTTGTTCAACATGAACATTTGTGTATCTGAAAAAAGTATATATTATTCTTATTTTATTATTCTATCTTTAAAACATCAGCATCCGTAAAGACATGGGAATTCAAACTTCTGAATGATGATGTCCTCAACAAAAAAAAGGTTTTGCTTTTTTTTTTTGGTCCCAAGGAGAATGGAATTTTTTTCCAAAGATTATTACCTCAATAACAAAATATATTTTCAATGCATAACCTTTATTAGATGTATTCTTTTAAAATTAATGCATTAAAGAAGTAACATATTTATCCTGATTGATTGAGATTGATTGAAGCATCCTCTTAAAAGAGAAATAACATGTCCTTTGAATAAGCATTGACAATTTTACCCATTCTACCATACATGGCATACTTCACTGGGACACTAAATTGCATATTAAAAAACATAGGTTTCCAACCAATGCAGCAATAGAAAAGCCCTTTTTTCGCTTTAAAGTAAAAATATATTAATTATTCTGTTACAGCGCACCGCATTCAGTTGTAACTGAATGATTTTATATAAATTATTTCATACCCAGTGAAATACATAAGCTAAGTCACATAATATAATACAATAACTGGAAATAGTACATGAATACAGTAGTGTTTCAGAAGTCCTATAAGTAATAATGAGAAGAAAGAAACCATGTCTACAACGTTGAAAATACAGATGCACACTAATCACGGAGGTTCTGGTGCAATTCAGGAGTAATATCATACACAAGTCCTAATAATTTAGATAAGACTTCTTCTTTAGTGACCTCTACATTTTTATTTACTTCTGCTATCTTCTGTTTAGTCTGGACTTCAACTTCCCTGGCTTTGTCATCTTTGGAACCTAAGTGCTGTAATAGAATGAATCAGTCAGACAGAGTGAATAATAAATTAATTTCAAATAGCTAATGTGACTTTAAAATATCATTATGTACAATGCATGCACCACGTATGCGCGAGATATGGCAAAAATATGAACAAACATGGCGACTTTGACCTTTGTGGAAACCAGCAATTACAAACTGAAGCGTTACTAAGCTTTCACTAGGTAATTTCTTCGGTGATTGGAAATTATCGAAAGAGTCGTCGGAGGTAATTAATGTACGTTGCACCCAGGTCAAAACTCGTACTTGTGATTTTCATTAGAAGAGTACAATGGATTGTAGGAAAATGTTTATCAACACAAATGTCATACATGCGCGACGTGACGTGACGATCATCGCCCTATAATTTGTAACATTAGTCAGACAAGAATAATATGTATGTAAATCAATGTGCTCTTAATATTATTATCACTAATCACATCTTTTCAAGATGCAAGAAGAACTAATGTATTTTTACTCAGCAAAAACATGATCATTAAATAAATGCAGGGTTTTTCTAGAAAAAAGCTGCAAGAGGGAGCACTGCAATTCAGCAGCGCCACCAAGTGGGGGAGATAGGTTTCTCCCTATTCTAAGTTAAAATGGAGCATTCTATGGCTTCCGTAGGGCCAAAATTACTATTAGACAGGTCACAGTTGAAGACTGTGGCCACATGTGGCCCCTGGTCAATCCGAATTTTATGATTGGCATAGAATCTGCGCCCCAGGGTAAGGGGGCGCATGGCCATGGCATGAGGGCGCTGCGCCCCTGTTCCCTTGTTTAAAAAAATCCCTGAAATGATACAGAATTTGTATCTTTAGAAACTGAAATGTTTTATGCTAATCTCTTTAGGAAGTGACAGCATGATTTCAATGTAGACACAATCTTAAGTAGACATCCACACTTTTTTGTAAAAGTCAGAAAATGTAAAAATTATCTATATATAGAAGTGCATTACATCTTATATTCATATATATATTTTAATAAAACCAGAGTTCAGACTATTAATTAATGGTAGATTACCACTATTTTCAGACTCCCTTTACCTGTTTTTTCCAGACAATCAAAAATATTTCATGTAATTATATGTATAACATATTTACATACTGAAATAAAGAACATTTGGATATGTCAGATTCAAAAACATTGCAGATTGTTCTTCCAGACAAGTCACCCTACCCTACACTATGGTAGTGACATTTAGCTAGCTTTAAATAAAATCATTTAACAAATGTATCTAGTTAGCTATAAGCAATTATGTATTATGGGTGTATGTTGAATGGACCCTCATCCCTCTGATCTTTATATTATATTGGTAATCAATAACCATACTAGCAATGAACTGTTTTTCATTCTACCATCATTACTGTGCTAGTCGTAAACACATGTCAATACTAAATATAACATCATTTAAATGCATGGGTTCGGTTATCTCAAAATTACCGTAGGACATTTTGTCCAAAATGGCAACTAGCGTTATGGGAACTTTCTAATTATTTGCCATATTTTGCATGCAAAACAGTAAATTTAACAGTTAATTTAGGACTTTAGAATCCAAAATGATTGAACAAAATTAGGACATTTAAAAAAAAATACCAGCAAATTGTTAAAATGTGGTTAACATCATTGAAATGGTGGATAAAGACACCACTATGACTCACTCTACAAATGGACTGATAACTCAGCAGTACCGGTATGTTTCAGGGAAGAGAAGGAGGGGTAAATGATAACACATAATTCACATTTCAATCTACTGCTTTAACTCTTTTTTTATCTTAAAACTAAAATTGCAGAATTAAGTAAACTTTTGTTACCTACAATTAACTTGCATCATTTTTTTTCGTATTTTTCAAAATAAATTAAGAGATTCTGAATTATGAGTATTGGTTCAAAATTAAAAAAGAAGTTACAGTGAAAAACAAGAGTACAAAATTTCAAGGGTTAAGAGCTATCCTTCTTTTGGTACAGTTTAAGTATGTAAATAGAAATGTACTACTTTTCTGCAGTCTGCCAGATTATGGAGTCTTATCTTATCATGTTATACATGTACACTTTAACTAGATATTGTCAGAGGTCACGTTACCCTTGCTGACGGTATGTGAGGAAAATGTATGTAGCCAAAGCTGATACATTCCAGGTTTTATAAACACATGTCCCTGAAGAGAAGTGCTATATGTATATGCATTGTACTTTCAGTAACAAAGAGAAAAACAAGTTTGTTGACACACAATAATAATATATTTCCCCAGCAAAAAATGGGGTTGAGCATTACAACTAATAGACCAATTTCTGTTTATGGCAAGATTGTGAATTATGTGCTGAATCAAACGTACATCAGGACAAACAAAGGATATAGTATTGTAATAGCATCAAAACATAGATGGGATTAGACAAATGTGTCAGTAGTTTTTGAATATTTTCACACTTAATAATGTACTATACACATTTGATGATGGTCAATTATGACTAAACTAAGAATATTCTCCTCTGAAATATCAACATTTTGACATTGAGCTATAAAAAAATATTCAAAATTTAAATTATTCAATTTTACTGACAGATGTTAGGTTAACGCCTTTCACACAACATGCAAAATCTTGTACATAGTAAATGGAAAAGCATCTATTTTCTCACAAAATAGGTGTTAATTGATCACTTTTTAAAAATAATTTCAGGTTTTGAATTTTCTATTTATTTTTGCCAAATTAGTGATTTTTGGGAACTACCTGAATGTTGGAACTTTCTATTTTTAAAGAGAACTTGGATATTAGTTATTCAAACTATAATTAAACCTTGTTGCCAACAAATCTACAAGCTGGTCTGATGAGAACTGAAAATCTACTACTATGTGACGAATACCTAGAAACTAGAAAACTTGATAACTCATTCACACATTAGTTGATGATCAAAACTAACCTTTTGTTGATGTTCAATAAAAAGTTTCTCTCGTTCAGCTCTATATGCTTCAATTTCAGATTGCGCTTCTTCTTTAGCTTGCTTCAACCTTCTTGCTTTCCCTGTAGGAACGTACCATGACCAGAATTTTTAGTATATTTAATATTTAATCTTAAATTCGCAGTTGTGCACTAGTCTTACCACATTTTGGAATGGAATCTCCCAAATGTGTTGTATAAGAAAATGTTAATGTAAAAAAAAAGGCCCTATGCATACTAAATTTTCAGCATTGGTTCAATGTCAAAAAAATAGTAAAATATCCCCAGTTGGAATAGTTCTGTTGTCAACAATGATTTTGTAACTTTATACATCGGGTCGATTAATGCAAAATAGTGCCACTGCTAAAACAATAGGATACCAGGAATATCACAGTAGCTCATGTGATAATGAGAGGTTATTACGAGGATACTGAAAAGTATGCATGAAGACAGTACAGTGGGAGTATTGACTGACACGACCACGTACTGACTGAGTGCATACTTTCGGTATCCTCATAATAACCTTATTATTATTATACACTTTTTCTTCCCAAGGATACATCATGGGAATGCACAAATACAAAAAGTTTAGATCAAATTGAGCGAACTTCTTTGTAGGGGGGGGGGGGGGTCCGGTCAAACCCTGGGGACTGCCATATTTGAACGCTTATGCGAGTAATTGTTCCATATTTGGAATTTGCAGTTCCTAACATGGTAGGATGAAAATACCCTGTAAAATACCGCAAAATTACAGCACGAAGTTATGGTGACAGATGTATAATAATAGCAATTTATTTAATAACAAATTCATATGCAAGGATAAATATTAAATTTCTGTGAAATTGCCAGGACTGTAAGCAAATGTCTGAGTTCATACATTGAGATCTGAAGATGTTAGCGGAGTCTGAGAAAAGTAAATTATTTACTTGTGTTTCATGATTTCATCAGTGATTTTTATCATGATTTTATAATCACCCCATAGACTTCAATCAATGGTCAAACATTGTAATGAATGCATGCAACATCACTGATCCCCCAAAACGTATCAGCCAAAAAGGACGAGCCACCATCAATTCAATTTTTTCCATTGTGACATCACATAGTGCATACAAAGAATATCGCTACCAATTTAAATTTTAATTTCAATATTGCTCTAACAAATATCTCAATAACAAATTTAATGTGCCGAAGGCACTCAGCCCGAACAAATTTTTTTAGAGGGTACCCTTGATGCTTAGTTCCAAATGATTTGCATCATCATTGATTTATACAACATTTTTACAATGAAAAAACAGATATGTTCACAAAAAATATGCACATTTTATTACAATATTATTCACATACCATCAGAATTTACACTGTGAAAATTATGAGGGTATGTTGTAAAACAGTCAGAGCCAAGATCTTCATCATTATGACCAAGTTTTATGACTTGACAGTCATACTAGTATTATGTTTCACAAGTTTGGGTGCAAAGTTGAATTTGACCCAAAAAAGAGAATCCCCAAAAATAGAAATCTCTCAACAGTTGGAGAGACTTAGTAAAGATTGGGTGGCAAGTTAATTGAGTACCAGGGGTACAGTATATTTCACACGTAATAATCACAGGAGGACTGTGCTATAATACATATCCAGTTCATCAGTGCAGAAACAGAATAATTGTGTATTTATGATCATGAATGATGGTTCTAGATTGTATATCCTCAACGTTCCTAGTATGTCCCTATCTCCACATCATCAGCGGATGAGGTGTACACTTACTGGCAAATTAATTATACACTGTAAATATAGTAAACACGGCACCTGCATTTCCAAGTACATGTATATGCTGTAACATTATGTGCCACAATGGCCGCCAGTACATTGTGCATGAAGAACTGGCGTGAAACACTGAAGATAAATCACAAAAGTAAACAGACATTTATTATATATTTATTCAAACGTCTTAAATTTTCATTTAATCCGATTATATAGACAATTTAAAAGCACTATCACTGTGAATGAATGATTGAGTGTGTGAAAGAAAAGACGACTCGAGGAGATACAAAATTAGACACCATAAAATACACATTTAATACAGCTGAAATGCCATTGTCAAATGAAATCTTATATTTGGTATAAAGGTAACTGATAAATTAAATGGCTTCACGACTTATTACAGCTGCCGTGAATTTCCATCGTTCAGTCAGAAATGTTATACCGTGACGATTATCATCAATTTACGTTGTAATCAAGATTTAAGTGGACTCTAACTAACATTTATAAATGTTATAGTAAAATTACGTATTTCGTCAAAAACATTTAACAGAAACAAAGTGTGACATTTCTTCTGTCGGAAAATAAGGTTACTTACTTTTACGAGCCTCTCCAACCTTTTCCGCGGCGCGTTTTTCGGCTTGAAGAAGTTGTTGTATTCCTGTCGTCTGTGCGGCCATTTTGAGATTTACGAACACCACGTGACTGACGTCAATTGAAACTGCGCCACCAGCGACAACACGAAGAAATAATTGATTTGAGGGTTTCGGGTCGTGGATGAATAAATTAAAATATACATGTTTGCATTTGATTATTAAAGTGTTTAATTTTTATAATTTGCATTATTTTGAGCAAAAATTTGGCTCTCTATCGGAGCATATTCGTTCTAGCCCATATATAGACATCCATGTATTTACTGCAGCAACCAACACGTCATTTCGCTTTGTCGGGGGATAGTTTAATCACAGTCCCTCTAGAGAGATAGAGGGACCGTGGTTTAATATACGGGTGTGCGACACTTTTTTAACCTTTATTTTTACGGTCGGGCCGATTTTTTTTTAGCAAAAATCGACCTCAACATCGATTTTTTTTTTCGGTCCAGTTTTCAAGTGGATGCCGAGCTCTCCCATATATATACGGCGATTCACAGTAAAACTCTTCGTGTAAAAGCAAGACATCCATGGTAAACTTTAAAATGATAAATGGTAGTAGTCTGGGGGAGGGTACTGGTAGAAATCTACCAAAGAGTATGCGAGGCACCTACAGGTGTCGGTAAATTATGTTCATGAAGGGAAGCGATGCCGTAATGTGTCATATTGTTGTCACGCATTCCGTTAACTACGGTGACTTATTAGGGCCATTGATAATTTTTTTAATTTCTGACATTTTCACTTGTATTTTCCTACTTTTTTTCCTATTTTCGAAATTTTCTCCAGTAGTTTTCTGCTTTTATTGTGAATTTTCTGCTTTTATTTCGAATTTTTGACATTTTCACCAGTATTTACACCGCGGTGAGAATATTTACACCGCGGTGAAAATATTTAAACCGCGGTGAGAATATTTACACCGCAGTGGGAATATTCAAACCGCGGTGGGAATATTTAAACCGCGGTGAGAATATTTAAACCGCGGTGAAAATATTTAAACCGCGTTGAGAATATTTACACCGCAGTGGGAATATTCAAACCGCGTGGGAATATTTAAACCGCGGTGGGAATATTTAAACCGCGGTGAGAATATTTAAACCGCGGTGAGAATATTTAAACCATGGTGAAATACGTTTTTTCTATAGCCTCTCTTTTATTTCTCCACCATTTTATTGTGGGCATCTAGCTTGAGTGACCCGTTCATTTAGAGGTAAATTTTCTAATTATTTTATTTTTCCTCTAGTAAACTCACCCATTTCCTTGAAAATGACATGTTCGTTGTAACAAGTTGATAGATAACATGTGCCTGACACTTTCTGTTAGTCATGGTACTGTCAGACAACACGGCGACGCACTGTTCGGCAGCATGTCGGCAAGTATCAAGTAGGACTGGTACACCTTCTGTACTCGTCAGAATCATTGTTGTATCAAGAAATGGTAATTCAGTTTGAGTTGTATTGTCTTCAATATTTTTTTAAAATAGGTTAGTCTCCTCCATTTTTCATAAATGTATGTTATACTATACTGCGGGCAGTATAACGCCCGAAATCAATTGGTTTTAAAAGACTGGGTTATCAACTACGTCGAGAATCTCCAATAATCTTTCTAAATACTGACAAACTACGAACTGTTGTAATGCTGGCAATTATCCACTGCTATCACAATGTGTTTTTGCTAATGTGTTATTACAATGGTTTCCCGTTAGTTTGTACTTTTAATGTGCAACTTGGCTACCCACTTAAATCTCGAGAATAAATTTAGGCAAAACCGATATATTTGTCGCAAATGGGTCAATTGCTGGATTTAGTTAAGGAGCCAAATGAACCTATTTACGAAGGGCTTTCAACTAAATATAGGAGACAATACACATTTTAATGTGGGGTGAACAAAATTGTATTATTCGTGGAATTTAGTAAGTTGTTCATTGCCTTTGTGGCCAAAAGAAATCTTATGTAACCAATGTGCCTTTACCGGTTCGCAGGTTTTGGCATGTAATTGGATAACATTTATTTCTCAATCTCAGTCATTGTACTAGTGATATTAGCATAGGTAAGGGCCACCTTACTCCCCAATCCCATGGCTGTGCCACACACTTGTATGAAGTGTTGATTATTAGGTTCTATAAAATCATGTTCAAAATAAAATCAAACATATCTGTAATTCAATCCTGTTCTTGAATTAGTTTCCTAACAAAACTTGCACCTTCCGGTGGTGATATTTTTCAAGGTTTTCTAAATTGTACGTTGTACCGTATCGCAGGAGACGATTTTATCCATCTGGATCGGCACCGTAAATTTTCTAATATGCATGTTCATTTTTTTCAGTGTGAAATTTAAATCCGCTATTACAGTTTCACATTTAGGCAGCGTAATTAGTCTGATAATTAATAAAACAATCCGGGCTTTATCGATGCATGACCATAGATTACCCTGTACAATCCCTTTGTACTGCAATGGTCATGGGCTGTCCTTTTATTACAATACAATGGTACCGGGGTGTGTAGTTATTACAATACAATGGTACCGGGGGTGGCTAGTTATTACAATACAATGGTACCGAGGGTGTCCAGTTATTACAATACAATGGTACCGGGGGGTGTCAAGTTATTACAATACTATGGTACCGGGGTGTCTAGTTATTACAATACAATTGTACCGGGGGTGTCTAGTTATTACAATACAATGGTACCGGGGGTGTCCAGTTATTACAATACAATGGTACCGGGGGTGTCTAGTTATTACAATACAATGGTACCGGGGGTGTCTAGTTATTACAATACAATGCTACCAGGGGTGTCTAGTTATTACAATACAATGGTACCGGGGGTGTCTAGTTATTACAATACAATAGTACCGGGGGTGTCTAGTTATTACAATACAATGGTACAGGGGGTGTCTAGTTATTACAATACAATGGTACCGGGGGTGTCTAGTTATTACAATACAATGGTACCAGGGGTGTCTAGTTATTACAATACAATGCTACCAGGGGTGTCTAGTTATTACAATACAATGGTACCGGGGGTGTCTAGTTATTACAATACAATGGTACCGGGGGTGTCTAGTTATTACAATACAATGGTACCGGGGGTGTCTAGTTATTACAATACAATGGTACCTGGGGTGTCTAGTTATTACAATACAATGGTACCAGGGGTGTCTAGTTATTACAATACAATGGTACCGGGGGTGTCTAGTTATTACAATACAATAGTACCGGGGGTGTCTAGTTATTACTGTAACGCCAAAAATATTACACAAACAAGATGGTAGAGTTTAATGCAATGTCCTGTTCTTTTTATTTCTGGACCAGTGTAAACAAAAGCAAAAACAAAAAAACCTGTATAATAAATAAATAATACAAATCAGTATACACAACATAAATACATAAATATTCATAAATGTACACAACATAAATACATAAATATACATAAATATACACATCTCAGAGGCACATTACCATTCAATGCTATGCCAAATAGCTGTCAATATTGTC